ATAATCCGAGGGTAAAGTGTCGCGTGTCAGGCTTAAACTGTCCTTGTAAATATATAGGCCATACTGAACGTATGTTCTGATCACGCATACATCAGCATAAACTGGCTGAACGACGAGGCAAAGAATTATCGCAAGTTGCAGCTCAGACCTTTGAACCAGGCCAGGTGATCAACGTCGTAACCGTGGCAATACCGTTTAAATAATACTCCGCTAAACGACAAAAATTGAAAAGCAGCTTCTACGTCTGTCTACCGTGTACAACAAAAAGTTGAAATATGTTTCATTAATTCGTACGAGGATATATCTGATGTTGAATTGTTAAAGTTCTCTGTAATGGACAAATCATGAATTGTATTACGATTTTAAACCATCATTTCTCTAGTTTCCCTTTAACTTTGTCTTAGTCCCCTGTCCACAGAAGTTAACTTTCTGTTATTTGTTTGACGAAGAACTTTGTTATTAAATTTCACTTTTATACTGCACTTGCACCTCACTATTTTGAAATTCTTTCGAATGCCGACAGGCACCATGTCACTGAAGCTGACGGTCCGCGCCTATTCACTTATCTCAGCCTCCCTCAATAGCGAGGCCGTCAAACCCACCACAACAAACTTTCTCCACATTTTGTTCCCGTAGCCGTTTGAAATCATTTCTCTTCCTCCCAAGATCTCTATGTGAACGAAACGACCACTGTGAGCCCGCCCCTGCTTCCTCTATGCCAATTATGTTACAGTTTTTTCCTAATGAAAAATGGCAGTTAGCTAATGCAGTACTTCTGACGGCATTTAATAGAACATTCACATTTTCCTCAACAAGGACATTTTAATTTCGGTCGCGCTCCTAGTTAAAGCGTTTTTAAAGTACACACCTTTTGGACAAACCATGGAGAAAGTAAATGCACTTCAAACTGTGTAAGGCCATCCAGCCTCATTAATGTGTCCTTGTTATACATTATAAAATAATTCTACCAGCACATTATTGCATATTAATTATGACCGAGGGTAAGGTATAGAAAATAACTTGGAAAAATGCTTAATAAAATAAATATGCAGCATTTGATTGATTAACTTTAAATTGAGAAGAAGAAGAAGAAGAAGACTCAATCGCTGGGACGATATGTTTATTCGTGAATATTATTATGTTTATAAGGCGAATAATCATATTGTCCCAGCGATCGAGTCTTCTTCTCAATTGCTTCCTGGGACACGGATATTCGCTTGTATTAGCTTACTTTCAATTATCACTTTGTAATACGATACCGGGAACTATAGATTCACCATGCTATTAAAAATTCCACTAGGAATGCCTGAACTTCTTTGTTATTTTTCCAAGAGCAGCCCATTAATATTTCTCTGGAGTAAATAATTCGGTCATTCATGCAGCAATTTAAAAAAACACTTGGCTTTATGCAAAAGAATTTACGAGTTTGGGTATCAGAATATCTGATTTTCAGATTGTGCAAATGTTTACAACGTATCTCCAAAGAAGTTGTGAGTATGCGGGAGGCTTGCTGTCCTAATCGACCCATCAAAACATATTTTCTAGTCTGCCATCCTACATGATATCAATATGATAGTCAGTTACTATCAAGCTATTGAGAGCTGGGCATTAAAATATGTGTAAACAGGTTCCTAAAATGTTAAATCATCATTGATACTGATCACTTTGTCAAAATCTGGTCTCTGTTTAATATTAACTTGGCCATTGTTAAAATAAAAACGGGCATTTATTATATTTACGGTATAGTATACATAAATAACCATTTAAGTATTGAGCTGAAGACATTGCTGATAGTTTATATAGCGGCCACGTTACTTGCATTGCAAAATGCTCTCCCAGTATGCCCTCAGTACCTACGTAAGTAGCGTTTGAGCCAATTCCACACAACCGACTATCATTTCAGTCAAAACTATAGCGTTAAGTTAGCTAGGACATCTGTCATCTTGTTAAAAAATGATTTAACTGCTTGGGTGGGGCTCTTTCTGTAGGGTGAGGCCTCGTGTTTTCTGAGGCCAAATGGGTGTTGATTCAACCATAATGTCCGGTTGAAACTGACATTACAGTACAGTACAATGCGTTTTTCAAGTTGTGTAGGTTTGGCCGGATACCAGGATATACAGTGGATTACCTAATTGATAAAATTTGCTAGTCGACAATTGAGGGGCGGTTAAACACGCATTTGATGTGGTTCCTTGAGTTTATTGAATTGATTTCAGGCGTTAAATGCTGTTAACTAGACCAAAGTTCATTTCAAATTACCCTGTTGAAAAAATTTTACAATTGAGGCAACATCCACTGTATACTGCTATCCAAGGAATTTCCAACGTTATGTAAGACTGTCGTTCTCTAAAACAAGTTTATTATAAAACACAGACCTGTCAAATCTATCTTTTCAGTCAATCAACAGTTTCGTTAAAAAGTCATAAAAGCCATTAAAGGCGAGTGCGAGGAATCGTCTTGTTTTCGGAAAGAGGAGCGCATTTGGTTTTAACAAACTTTACTTTTCTAAATATGATGCGTTTTGCCATATAATTATTTAATAAATTTCCAAAGCTTCAGTTTGTTTTACTGCACCGAAGATAAGGACCAAAAACGAGCACACGTCTATATGGCCTCCGCGAAATGCCATCATTTTTCTTGGTCAGGCCGTACGCAAAGTAGCTCCTACAAAGGAAAGGGGAAATGCGAGACAAAACAGGCAGAAGATTATCAGTTTCCGCAAAACCTTAGCAAATATTCCGCCACTCACTTGTGCATTTTTAATCGTGAAAAGGAACTTAAAAGTGAACGGATATAGCGCAAACTCCTCCGGTACGCATAGAAAAGTGTTTTTTTTT